GTAGTTGGTTCCACAGGAGAGGAGCCTGAGAACTAAAAGATCTGCCTCCCATTCTACTTTTAGAAATTTTAGGAACCACGATTGAGAGCGTAGTGCTCTGTTAGGAACATAAGGAACAATCAGATCTCTGATATCAGATGGAGCTTGGCCATTTAATAAAGATACTTAAGTATCTAAATATGTAATCAAGTACATGTACTTTGTTAATTTCCATCACTGAGCAGACTTAACATAAAGGTTCTTTTAAAAGCCTCAACCTTATGGACAACTGGACGTTTGAGGGAGTATGAAGATATTTGAATCTATATGTGTAATTAGATTATTGTGGGGATGAAAAGGAAATCAACAATAAAGTCAAAATATTGTTGACGATTCCTTCTTGTTGCAGGTATATATTTTGAAAGGAGTGGTGAATGCTGCCGTGGGACAAAAAATCGGATCGGTCAGTATTCCCGGTCATTTCCAGGCATGAACGCACCGGTTCACGTATTCCACCGCTTTGCACGCGAAGCTGTAAGTTCCTGCGCTTGTGTCTTGCAGAGGGATCACCTGAAAGTTGCCCAGCAGTTTTTCCAGTTGGTGGGCGGCTCAGCTAGCGAGTGCGGTAAGCCAGATCAAATGGTCTGCAGTATTATTTCTAAAAGCTGGACCCATGCGAGCAGATCTTCTTTTTCTGCAGATACTATCCCTGGCAGACAGTGCATGGCCTCCTGCTTTTTTCTCCTGAGACAGTTTGAGGATGCTCTCGTCTATCTCAACTCTGTCAAGGTTAGTCAAGTATCTTGTGCTGAAAGTGCATCCATTCATCTGAGTGTTGTTGTTTTTTTGTGGTTCTACGAGCTTTTCTGTTTTTCAGAGTTACTTTTATAACGACGATACGTTCAACTTCAACTACGCCCAAGCCACAGCAGCGCAGGGACAGTACAAAGAGGCAGAGGAGGTACTTTGGTTGAAGCCCTCTGCTGATGCTGATGGATGTTGCTGCACATTTAGTTCTTATTTGTTTGTTTCCTTTCAGTGTTTCCTGCTCATTCAAGATGAAAATATCAAGAATGACTATGTGTACCTTAGCTGGCTGGCTCGGTGCTGTGAGTATAGAAGCACTATTGGCGGTGGGACACTATAACTATGAAACTCTGTGTATTTAATTAGGTTTTTATATGCTACACTAACAAGAGTTTAAGCCATATAATACTGAAGAAAGGCAAGTGTTTTATCACATTTTAGAAATAGGCCCCCTTCTCAGATACCCCTAAATAAATTCCATTGTCGACAGCTGCCCTTAAA